TGGCAGAGTTTGGGGCTTGGGGGTTGGGGAGGGTGGGGCCTTCAAGAGCCATTTCTTCCCTTTGAGACTGTGTAAGTCAAGACAGGTGGCTCCCCCCACCCCAGATTGTTTTATATTTTAAGTTTTAATTAAGAAAACCTTGATACCGAATCTTGTGTAGCCCAGGCTGGCCTCCAACTCACTATGGGCTGTGAATGACCTTGAGCTGGCCCTCCTGCCTCCACTTGCTTCCCCCACGCCAGGATTAAAGGTGTACATTCCTGCATCTAACTTTTTGCTTTTTAAGCCTTCCCTAGACTCTGGAGAGGGAGTGAGGAGACAAGGGGCTCACCTCAGTCACTCTGGCTCTCTTCTCTGCCTGCCTCCTCCCCCCTGAATTCCATCACTCCTTCCTTGGCCTCCAACGCCATTCCTCTCTGGCCTCCATATCCCTCTTTTCCTGGCTTCCTCCTCTTAGTCCTCAGCTGGTATCTCTGTACAACCAGCTCTTTACAAACCTGGAGATTCAGGGCAGCAAGTGGGCTCCTGGCCAGAAGGAGCATGTTGATACCCATTCTTCATGTCCAGTTGCCGGGTTGCTGTGTGGACAGGGCGTTCAGCTCAGAACAGTGAGGATGCTTGAAAGAACCAGGCCAGCAGGCTTCTATGACTCAGTGTCCTCACAAACCCACCCCAGGTCTGGAACTGGGCACAGCTGGTGCCCAGCCAGCAGCATTTCACATCTTTGAAGTGTGCGTCCTCTTGGCAGCTGGACCATAACTTTAAAAATCTCAGTATTTCTGGGATTCACTAAAACCCAGTAGCCTAGTGGGCTGTTCACTGGTGGAGTGGAAGACACAGGCTCTCCAAAAACCATTCTCTGAAGACTAGAGGGTCCTCTGAGGCTGCCCATTGGGTTAACACTGTAAATTACTCAACACAGAGTGGGAACACTGGAAGATTCAGGCTGGGCAATGTTGGTGTCTGTAGGCCCTTGAGCCGGGCTCCACCCACCACCCACTGCTCTCTGGTTCCCAAAGCTGTTCCTGAGTTTGGCCTTCTTTCAAGACTGGTTCACTGGATGCCTCCTTCAGGGAGTCTCTCGTAATTCTCCTGGCATGAAGGACCTGTACCTCCTCCTTGCTCTTCCATGGTGGTGACTTTCCTGAGCCTCCTCAGGTACCACCCTCAGTCACAGCTAACCCTCCAGCTTATGGCTATGTGTGCAACCCGAGCCAGGTGCCGAGTGCCCCAGGCCTCTCCACTCCTCTCAACATCTCTGAAGCAGGGACTCTTCCCACCCTGTGCTACAGTGGGAAACTGAGGCCTAGGGAGGTGCAGGGGGCTTTCCTGACACCACAAGTCTGTGGTAGAGTGAGGTCTGAGCTGGGACTTGGCAGGTTTGGCCAAGATCACAGCACTCTCCCTGGGATTTGAGTGTTTCCCCAAGGCCTTGAACAGGAAGGACTATCCCAAGAGAGCGTGTGGATCACAGTCTGGCAGGCTGTGCGTGCGTGTGTGCTTCTTGTTTATAAAGGTCACCCAGTCCCTGGCCCTGTTTGGTGTTGTTTTTGATGTTCGAGGGTGGTGTGGAAATTTCTGTTTTATGTGACCTAGTTTCTGGGCTTTGATAATGGCATTCCCTGTGCCCTCTCCCCCGCCCCCCAGCTCTGAAATTTTGGAATCAGGGTCAAAATCTCAGTCTCCTTCCCCAGGCCCTGGGCTTCATACCCGATGTCTAGGGAGGGGGCTGATGCGTGTAGTGACTCTAGGGACTTGGCTGTTATTATTGTCACTTTAAGTTTTATTTGTGGTTATGTGCTCACGCATGTGCAGGTATACACGGAAGTTGGTGGTCCCCCTTCATGTTATGTCTCAGGAACAGTCCACCCTGCTCTTTGAGACGGGGTCTCTCACTGGGTCTGAGGCTGATGGATTAGGCTAGCTAGCAGCGAGCTCCAGGGAGCCCGCCTGTCTCTGCCTCCCCAGCAGATTACAGGGATTACAGAGGTTACTGTGACTTTTGTGCACTTTGGAGATTGGTCTTGGGCCTTCATGCTGTCTCTGCACTTTACCCACTGAGCTATCTCTCCAGTCCCGTGCCATGGGATCTTTCTGAGAGGAATGGTCGCGCCTTGGTGTGATTCTCCTGTGTGGCTCGCTGGAGCCTTCCTAGATGACCTCATTCTCCCCGAAACTGTCTTTTATTCTGCTTTGACTGTCACCCTGACCACTGCGCAGAGCCTTGGTGTAGCGGACCCCCTGTGCTTTTCTCTGAAGTGTTAGCTGAATGGGATTTGGGAAACCTTGGTCACTGGGCTGCCAGTGAATTTCCCTGGAAAGTTTCTTTTCTTCCTATTTCTGATTCTCCCCATTTCACTAAACAGTGCAAATATTTGCTGGGATTTGGTCCGTTTTCTAAACGAGCCTGGTGCCCGAGAATGGATCTCTGTGTGTCTTTGGGAGATGACACAAAGGGAGTCCACGCCCGTGCTGGTCACTGATTTGTGAAGGGTTTTACAGTTGTCTGCTTCCCTCACGGAATCATGGTGAGGACTGGGGGAATTAGGAAATGGTTTGTGGGGGCTGGGGGGATGGCTCAGTGGTTAAGAGCCTTTCCGTGTGTGACTGAGTCATATTTAGGTCTCACCAATGGGTGAGGCCATCACACCTTCTTCTTCTTCTTCTTCTTCTTCTTCTTCTTCTTCTTCTTCTTCTTCTTCTTCTTCTTCTTCTTCTTCTTCTTCTCCTTCTCCTTCTCCTCCTCCTCCTCCTCCTCCT